CATCAGCTTTACAAGAGCTGCTTATTTCATAAATACTTATTAATGGCTTTAGAATACTTAGCAGATAACCTGGATGTTTCCTCACCAATATTTATATAAATTGACTTTAAGTGCTTAAAAACTAAAAGCCAACTAAAATTAGCATCCAAACACCTTGATATAGAATACACCTATGTAAATATATTGTTGTGTAGGCGTGTGTTGTTGTGTTCAAATTTCATGCAAATATATTCAGTATTTTTTTACATTATATGTTACTTTGTCATATATGAAACTACGTATGATGTGGCCAGATGGATTTTATTGAAACACAAAAAACAGTTTTTTTTAAAAAATAGTGGTTTTGTACTGTACTTACAAAATTACTATTTATACTACAGAAAATGAGAAAAAATGAGATTTTTTTCCATCCTGAGTTAGATGAAAGTTAAGACTAAATTTGTTGTTGTTGTTTTTGCCTAAACTGTTTGGCTTTAACGTGTCATGTTCTGGCTTTTCTTCGAAGTCTTGTAACCTAAAGCTCATACACCTTGATAATGAGATACGAATACTGAAGTATTTCAGTATTTAAAATGAGATTGAAATGTGCTTGTTTGCAGAACTATAATACATCTTTCTACAATGTGTCTGTGTTTTCCCAGAAATGCCATCCTTTTCTGGAAATCTTGAGCGTAATTTCTTTGGGATTTCTTTACATGTAGAAATCCAGGCCAATGGATTTCTTGTCCATATTTACTGGATTCTGTTATTCACGAGTACTAAGTCCAACATGTGGGTTTTCTTACTCATGCAAATGATAAGCTAGGTGCATCCTTTGCACATTTATCTTGCTCCATGTTTTCCAGATAGGATCATGGCACAGCTAATTGTTAAGCAGTAGAAGCAAAGATGAAATAACGAAGGACTTTTTGGATAATTGTGATAATTGTTAGAAACTTTTTTAATGTCATTTTTTCTGTATTTTTTAGGTTTAAAATTAATGAATATTTTTGTAGCCAATGCAATGGTGTCATGACATTGACAGGCTTTGTTGTGTAAAGGTTGCTCTAAGTGGCTTTTGGTAAATGGCACTTTTTCTTCTTTTAGTAGAAGTACAATCATAGTGGGAGTAACTTTGCTAAGATATACCAGAGACATATTTTTCCAGCAACATTTTAGCCAATCTGTCTGGAAACCGTCCATGAACTTCTGAACAGGGAGCCATATAATATTGCATGAACTCATGAAAAATCTTTTCAGCAAAGAATCTCCTTGGATTATGTGACTTTGTGTTTTGTTTGAAGTAACTAGGAGATAATTTACTGAACAAGATATATTCTTAACTATGCAAAAATTCAAAATTAAAAAAAAAGGCAGCAAAGTTTCAAAGTTCGGGGCCATCTGAGAGGAAGAGTACTGTGAAAATAATGGTGAATAACTATAAGCTTAACAAAGAGTTGCAATTTATGATCATGAAAGATGGTGTGTAAAGATGCAGACTTTGCATGAGCAAATTGACATTTTGCAGATGTAGATTTTTCAAAATAAGTTATGCATGGCAGAGAAGAGCTGCTTGACTCTCTGCTCTCTTTCCCAGTGGAAAAATGTAAATGTCTTTCCACTGTCAGGACCCACTTTAATTTGTGGATGACCATCTCCTGGAATCATTTTGGTGGAAGCTGTTCAAGCAATCCACCTTCTTAACTTCTCAGAATTGCCAACTTTTCAGATATTTGTTACCATTAAATCTGTTTTCATGGCAGGTTGTGCTTATGTTTTAGAAAGCTTATGCCTGCAGTTTCATTGATGGTATTAGTGCCCTCATAGGCTTCCTTAGCACCTTTCCCAGAGCCCTAAGAATATCCTCAAGTCACTGTTGCCTTCAGACTTTTTAAATTGACTTGGTTGTTAATTTTAATGCATTCTGAATGAAAGGATAAATGCTAAAATCTGGACTCCCCCCCCCCATATATATAAAAGAATCATTGATTTTCTTAGATATTAAAATGAAACTCATAAGTTGTACTTTCATATGCAATGTGCTTCTATCCAATGCAATATTAATACTGCTTGTAGTTGCATTTGACTATGACCACATACTGTTTTTGATGTTTACATTTTATGAACAATGTTTTCTGGTAGGCTGTTCAGACTTCACTGATGCAGTGTATTTAGTGGATTTATGAATCAATTCAAAAGAAAAAAATCGCTTTTTTGAGAGCGTATATTATATGAAATTCCGCCCTGTGTTTACATATTTGATTTTAACTGGAAGCTTTTGTGGTGTATGGGGACCTCAAGCTAATAGTGTGCTGCCACACCTTTGTCATATTGTTAGAGTCTACTTCCAAACTGTCCTGCAATACCACAATACCAAAGCAATACTACAATACTTGAAAATATCTATCTTTAACAACCTGAGAAAAGAGGAAAGTAGTAAGAAGATTTAACAGCCTAAAATACTAACTCTGGAAGACCCCAAAAGCAGAGATGGAAAAATAAAAGAGCAGCTGTACTTGGTGAGACCAAAGTTGCATCTAGCCGAGCATATTGTCTCTGACAGTAACTAACTGTCAATGCTGAGGGAAACACAGGGTAAGCGTGGGGAGCTGCTTTCCCCAAGTATTTTCTTAGCTTCCATCCACTTGAAGTTCAGAGGATTTCTGCAAGAGTGGTTTCTCTTTCATGAACTAGGCCAGTCTCTACTGAAGCCCCTATGAACTTTTAGCATCCATAGCAACCATTGCAAGGAGTTTCGAGCTTCAACTTCAAGTGTGAAGAATCATTTCCTCCTGCTTGTTTTGAACCTGCCGTGGGTGAGCTTCATTTGATACCCCCTACCTTCTGGCAGCTCATTACTGTCTTTAGCATTAGGATGCTATGGTGGTGGGCATTAGGAATTCCTGAGATAGATAAATGGGGTGTTTTCTAAAAATGATTATGGCTTGATTTTTAACATCTGGAATCTAAAATCTATATGTATTCTGCCTTTGTTGGGTGTTTTGGTCTTTTGGAGCAGATGTTGAGTGTATTTCCTTTCAGCACGTTTCTTTTTGTTTCTGTGACATCCTACTGTAATGGATTAGACTAAGCAATTTGGCAACTACTCAGGCTTTTAAATAAACTTTAATAAGTTGGAGAAGCATTGCCTCTTTTGTGGCGCCAGAGCAGCAACTATCTATACATTGTCCTTATGCATAAGTTCTTACACATTGTCCTTATGTCATAGATATATGACAATCTATGCAAAGATTGTTCATTATTATTATTTTTTTAATCTTGGCTTGTTTATTGCTTTCTTTGTAAATAAAATGCACAAGAATCATTTTAGCCTTTCTTTTCTTTATCTAAAATCTGTTTTATATAAGATCTTAAGCTTAAGTGAAATCCAAGGTAGGTTTTGCTTCTGACAGTTTTATCAAAAAATTAATTTATTCCTGTTTACTTTATCTTTTTTCCAATATTCTCTTCAATTTTGGGGGAAAATCTGCTGAAAGAACAAAGCCTGACACAATAATCTGGTATCTTTACTACATATCCTGTCAACTGTAGGTTCTCTTGAGTTCTAGTTTAATTGACCATTTGAATATTATAGTCAACAATAGATTTAATCACTATTTAACTTGTAACAGTTACCAGTTTTGATAATTTTCTTGATTTTATTTCTGTTTTATGCAAAAAAAAAAGTTTTTGGTAGTTTATCTTTTGGAATAGTTGACTAGTCATACATTTTCCTTGTAGAGCACTAAGAGTATCAAGGTAATTTTTGAAAATGTTATTACTATTTTTTTTTAAAAAAAAAAAAAGGCCTACTGTGATTTTGCAAGGGAGTATAGACATGCTCCCTTGAAATCCATCTTCCAGATATCACCCCTTCGAAAGGGTTATACCTGAGAAAAATATGACTGTCTGTACAAGTAGTACACGAAAGTTTGCCATGTAAAGAACATGAAATTTTCTGCAGAAAGAACAAAAAAATACATATATATTCATGGGTACAAAGAGTTTTTCAAAATGTGCCGACTTCTCAGTAATAGAACTCAGGTAACTCTCGTTGCGAGGATGTCTTCTGGTTGATTCCATTAAAAACTCTTTCTCTTAAAACAAAATCAGGACCAGAAGTCTCCAAATACATTGTGTCATAAGCTGAGAATCTTCTGCAGTCTGCCATGGCAGACGATCTGTATGTCTGCTGCCGCCAAATGCCAATTTTCCTTCTGAGTGTTTGGCTATACTACTGTCATTAAGCTTATCTGCTGTTCAGTGAAAATCAGGTTGAAGTTAATGGTATGGTGGTTTATGGAGGAAAAAAAGGATAGGCTTTTATTAGTCACAACTGTAAGTGAAAGCTAGAAACATGAAAAAAGATGATCAAGTAATGGCATAGCTAATACTCGTGTACTATAAAAGTGTCTTTTAAAAACTTCTTGTATAGACAGAGATCTAATTGATAAGATTGCTTTGCCAATGTGGTTTTGATTTGTTTTCAAAGTGAGTGATGATTTTACTATGCTGATATAAGCGAAAGTTCTCCTGTGTACCTTTACCCAGGGGTACTTTGCTGATTTAGTATAGTAGTATTCCCAGAACAGTAAAAAGCCCCTAGTAGAACTGTATCCTTACATGAGTTTGTAACCGCAATGTAATCTTCTCTGTTTGCAATTAGTGAAGTCATATATGAAGTATTTTTGGATTCTTTAGGTTTAATACATCAATGGCCACAATTCCTGACATCTACAGTCTTCTAAAAGACTAAAAAGGTGCACAAAAGTAATGTAAGTAGTAATAAATGTTATCAGCTAATATGATACTTAATTATAGAATAAGTCAAGAAAGTCCTTAATTTTAGAAAATCTAAATACCCTTTTTTAAGCATGATCCTATATTATTAAAGGCAGCTGATAAATAATTAAGAATTGCTATTAATTATATCTCAGTTCTGTACAAAGCTATGTAAATTGACAATGGAAAATATATTATGCCTAATATATTAATTAACTCTTCATTTCTTAATTCCACAGTGCTTTGGCAGGATATAATGGTACTATCTTTGCATATGGTCAGACAGGTAGTGGCAAAACTTTCACCATCACAGGAGGAGCAGAACGTTACAGTGATCGAGGCATTATTCCCAGAACTCTGTCTTATATTTTTCATCAATTGCAGAAGGTAGGAGACTTTACTTTCTAGTTCTTCTACATGTCTAGTTTACGACTACTTGATTACATTACAAAAGACTATAACAGGATGACAGGTAAGCCCTAAAATTAAAGAAAATGATGAAGAAAGCATGTAACTTAACTACAGAAGAAAATTATTAATGCTACCTGGTTGGCTTTTAGCGATACTTCCGCCTGCCTGCTTCCAGGTTTGTCTGATACTGCCTCTGCCTCTTCTTGGTGCTTTATCCTTCTATCTGCCTTTCTTATTGTATTTTCTCTAATTTCATTCCTTTTTCTCCAAATAACAGAGCTTTGGAAAGCACTTACACAAGGGGAAATTGTTGTCTGCCTCCTATTCCTAGATACGATAAAACAGAGAGAAGTGATTTTGACTGGCAAAATAAGACCCCTAAAGCCTTTGCTCACAGTGAGACCAAGCAGTTTGAAACCAGGAAAATACATTTTTTTTAATTAAAAAAGAGAATTAAATTAAAACTTTCATTTTTATTAACATTTCCTATTAACTTATTATTTAGAAATGCTTCTATATTCCCAGCTCTCTGTTTGAACAGTGCCTTGATCCCTCTTTCCACCCATTCATAGTGTGTCTTTTGAAACAGTGATCTATCATGATCAGTAATAAAGGAAATAGTTATTCAGTGAAAATGAAAACTTTATATCTCAAGGTATTCTGAAAAATAACTATAGCAGATTGGATATAAAGCTGCTACTGTAAGTGTGATATGAATACTTTCACAGTGGTTTCATCTACTGAAAAGAAGTGACTAATTTTCTTTCATTTTGAAAATCTTAGCCCATTATTTTGTGGTTTGTGTTGTTTGAATTTGTCTTTGGGGAGGAGAAAATTCTGTCTACAAAACCAGTTGTGTTAAGTTACTTTTTTGGCAATGTACAATATTGAAAAAATGAGGATTACAGAGAATAGTCGACATCATATGCAATGTTTAAATATTATGATAATGAGTGTAGAAAGCTGTATGTCATTGAAGTTTCTAAATGAAGTAAATTATGATTTTTTTTTTTGTTCCCTGGGTTTTTTCTTGAGCATAGCCTTTTTACCCATAATATGAAGGTTTACCTCTTTCTAGTAGCATTCCTTTTTTTGTCATGGAAGTAAAAAATGGCATGTTACAAAATTATGTAACCAATCTGCCACATTCTAAGTGTGTACAGACTTTTTTTAGATGCATGGAACAAAAACAAACAAAAACAAACAAACAAAAAGACTAAACATGCTTCAAATCATGGGCATTGGGATAGGGGGGTTCTGGAAAAATGTATCACAAATTGAAAATGTAAGCCATACCCAGGTTAAGAATAAGAGACAGTGAGGAAGCAACGTAGTGTAGTGAAGTGTAGTGCAGTGGAAGCTTGTAGTGATAATTTTGTCCTTTGGTCTAGCTCTCACTCCTGTTTATAGCCCTTCCTTTTATTTTCTTTCTTTTTTAGGATAGCAGCAAAGTATATACAACTCATGTTTCCTACTTGGAAATCTACAATGAATGTGGTTATGATCTATTGGACCCAAGACATGAAGCCTCCAAACTGGATGATTTGCCGTGAGTAATAAAAGTACAAAGAATTGGAATGGACAAGACCAAAAATTGTCTTTGCCCTATTATGTTTTGAGTGGATTTTTTTTGAAACTGTACTACTGTTCTCAGTCTTAATTAACACAAAATATTATTTTCAGTATTATCAACATTGTCTACAATTTTCTTTTTTGTACATATATGTGGCACACACACATATATATGCACATATATCTATATATGCACACAAACATATATGTATGTATACGCATACTAGGAAAGCTACTGGGCTACGTGAAAATGTGAAAACAAAAAAGATTGATATTATGCAGAAGAGATCTCTTGCAGCTATTGAAAACAAAAGTGAAGCCATACTTTGTTTTTTGGGGGAGTTTTTGTTTGTTTTGTTTTTTCATGACAGTTTGTCCCTCTATATGGCTTATACATGTGTTTATGTGGTGGCAACATACAGAACAGGGAGTATTTCCTCGAAAATAATAGAAAGAAAATTTTCCTGCTTATATAGGGCAATTTTTCTTCCTATTATTTTATTTCCAATTTATTTCCTCTATTGTTTCCTTCCTTCAGTGATAATTATTTCTTCAAGTACAGGCAATTATGAAGTAAGCTACAAAACAGGAGGTACAGAAGCTCAAAATGAACTCCATGGATTGCCATAACAGTGTTCCTTGATCAGACAGCGGTAGTCAAAGTTTTGTGTAGCTTCTGCACACACATATTTGCTAAAGTTAAGACTCTTACACAGTTTATAGTAAGTGTGAACCTTAAACTCTTAAGAATCTTCTGGAAAAATAAAATCTGGTCTATGATTTTCATAAAACTCAGTAAACAGTAAAGAAAAAAGAAATGACTCTCTGCATTTGCAAATGCCCTGAAATTATTCTGGGAATCATGAATTGTCTTACCTTAATGGTAACTGCAGCATGTAAATTTTATATTAAAATAACTAATAATATTATTTTATTAAACTTTTTTAAAATTATACTCATACAAAATATTCAAAGCAGTTAGAAGTTGAAATAAAATCTAGCTTTAGATTTCTAGAGAATATGTGGTGCCCAGGTTCTACATCTACAAAAAACTTTCACGTTTCATCGTTGTAAGATGAACTAGTCTAGAGTTAATGGGAAAGCAGGCAGACCCATACTATGAAATGGATCTAACATCCATTGCTTTCTGACATGCTAAAAGTACTGCATGTATTAATATATTCCGTAATAAAATTTAGGAATCTGTGATGTTTTATTATCTTCTTCATCTACTATACAGAAGTAGAAAAAAAATCTGACTAATTTTTGAAATAATTTATTTTTCTGTACATATTATGCGGGCACAAATTTCTGTTCTCAGTTGTACAGTTAGTAACAAATGAGTAGATTTTTATTCAGTTTATTAAAGTCAATGTGTTCATTTTATTAGGTTATTCAAATTATTAGTTACATCCAATAAATTATATTTTGTTTGAATTTATTCAATTTATTCACTTTATTAAATTGAATTTAGCCTAGATGAATCTGTAATCCAAACATGGTAATTTTGGGATCATGTGTTCAGGAAAATAGAATTTTTTGTTAAGATAATAATGCAGGGATGTAAAAAGGAGTAGAAGGGTTATTACATAACTAATTTTTTTTGTTGTTATTTGGATAACTTAATGTAAATACTAAATTAAACAGTAATTATATAAGATTTTAAAATTCATCAGGTGTTTATTACATGAAATATATATTTAAGTACTTTTATATCCTTAAGATTTTTCTTGTAGTCAGCAAGGCACAGAATAATCTAACTTGCCCAATTTTTTTTGAAAGTATTGAATTAGAATATTAAAAACCGGGAACTTATATTTATTGCTCTTGAAAAGAATAATATTATTGATAATTTCCTTTTGCACTTCACAGTGGGAGACCAGGCTTTTAAGCACCATGCAAAGCCAATTGCAATTTACCTATGCTTGGGTATTCGCAGTCTGTGCTTACATTCCTCTAATCGTATAAAGTGGATAAGAAAAGAGTTGAAGAAATGTGTCACTTTGGAAGATAAACAGCCTAGTGACCTAGTGAAGTATGCAGATTGTTTTGAAAGTAGTGTTGTTATACATATTCTTGCAAAAGAAAGTGATGCACTTTGAGTCAGAGATATGTACTTCTGTCTAACAAACTAGTAAATACTGACATTACACTACTTAATTCAGTGAAAGTGATGACATTCAGCAAATCGATGTACTTCATGGACATCATACATTAGAGCCATAACTAGTACTTGAAAACCAAAAGTAATGACAGAAGAATTTCCCAGTCTGTCCGAACGTGGTAAGTTCTAGAATCCCCTCCTGAAGTTCTTGTGCCCTGTGTAGCCATCTGTTGTATTCTATCATCTGTTGAGTCTGTAAAATAAACTATTCATGTGGTTAACTTTAGCAGTACTTCTAGATTTGCAAACATAAGATGGCTTACAGGTCAGGTTCATTAATTTTAATGTAATCATGTAATCTATAATCACTAATATAATTCTGATGGGCATTTGTATTTATATATTAGCAAAGTTTGTTTTTGAAATCCCTGTGAATTTGTAGTTTCACAGAAAAGAGAAAAACAGCTTTCACTGTGTTCTGTTGTGATGATATATGTAGCCCCTAGTAGATACTGTTTGATGTATCTTAATGCTTTTTATATAGTTGACAGTTACACCTTGTAAATTCTACTGGCTCGGATAATATTCAAGTTTGAAAATGCATGGTTTTGTGTTTGTTTAAGCAGAGAGGTGATGGACAATTGTCTTGAATCATTTCTTCAAAGACTGCATTTTATTCTTCACGGTTCAAACAACTTATACTTTAAATGTGTAAAATATTTTCAGAGTCCATTATGCATGCTTATTCACATCCAAGCTTTCTCTTGGTTTGTTTCCTCAAAACCGATAAGGAACAATCGGTGAAACCTTTCTGCTCTGTCCACTTGAAGTCTTAATTTATCTAAATCATCTAAGTGAAGCGATTCAGTTTAGATGATTGCTGTGGTGTGTCTTTACTTTTGAATCTGGAAGTTCATAATAGTCACTTTACTAAGAATGAGACTATTGCAGCTGTCTGCAAATTATAGCAGATTTGATATATTCTGTTCCTGTGTGATCCACCAATCCCATCATTTCAATTTTAACCGTGTCCGTAAAATGTAGAACAAGCAAACTGTATTTTTCTTGACTGGAATGTAGAATTTATTGGAGAGGGTGCGAAGGATTTTTCTACCATGTATGTCAGAAAACCAGCCTTTGTTAGTACTAATTCTATCTCACAAGTAAAGAAGATTATGCTTTGGTTTCTGCTTAAATGGAATATCAAATTTGTGTCCTACTGGAAGTTTTGCTGGGGGTTAAATAGCTTGTAATTGTCCCTCTTGAATCAGTCTCGACTCTCTCCTGTGATGTGGTATAAAGGCAGCTGTGCTTCCAAAGTAGCTTTTCTTGGATGATACATAAAATGATGATATTAGTCATTCTTTCTTAAAAGCTAAAGCTCCTTGGAACTTTCCACAAAGACTAGCTGTCCATGTCCTATTTTTTTTTTTTTTCCTTTTTGGACAACCCCCAAGATGCATGCTCATTGCTTTTCCCTTTTATCCTTTTCCTAAATTTATTAGCGAGTGTATTGTCTCCTCCTCATGCCAAAATAACATCAGTGTATTCTGTTAACACATTATTATATGGGGTGTAAAATCAGATGATCTGCCTACATCACTCTGATTACTTCTTTAGTGTTTATAAATTTATGAGATTGTTTTAGATTTCTTTAATTCAAAGCCTTGAAGATGGATATGGGACTTTATAACAAAAAAAAAAAATCATTTTTTTCCTAAAGCTCTGGGCTTTTTATTTATATTACCCAGTTTAATCAGATGGTATTAATGAACTGAGGGAAGATTTAAATTCACTGTTTCCCAGGAATTTCATATATATATAAAAAAAGTCGCTGTATAAGGCTCTCTTGCATTAATGGCAGCTGAAATGATGCATGAATAGGCATGAGTTAATAAAACTATAAAAAACGCTGATCACATCCTACAGATTTTCTAGTCAGCTGCAATTTCCATCCATTAAAATGGAAATGGAAAAGATTCTTTGTTTATAAAGAAAACAAAACCTTGTCTCTGCTTTCTCTCAGTCATTATGGATAACTTAACAGAACTTTTCCACTCTAAGATCCAAGCTAAGAAATTTAAACACGTCACTAATATACAGTATTCTATAGAAATCTACTGTCATATTATGCAGTAACTTTGTAGCACCATAAAATAAACCATTTTGTCGTCATCCAGGCGTATGTCATTTTGGAGACGATTTAACAGATACCACTGTAGATGTGCAAATTTGGACTTTGATCTGGAAATAAAATAGTTGAAAGGCCACTGTGCAGGGCAGGAGATTGTCAGTGGTTTATCATCTCCACTCTGCCATTATTCATTGTGCTTTCTGACGTAATAAAAATGTTTTGTCCAAACTAATCCAAACATTGTCTGCAAGACTGCAAAATATTTGTAACTGTTGGTCAAAATGTAGCCTGAAAAAATCCTTACAGGTTGGAGTGCAATGACAAGTGTTTGTAGTAAAGCAGCATCATTTTCCTAAGTTATAAAAAGTAGTGGATGCCTCTTACTAAGGCATTTCAAAGTAACAAAATCAGTCAAAGCATCCTGTTTTAATCAGAACTGCCCTGGCATTCAGCATGTCATACATGCACAGATGGAATTGAGAACAGAATATAATTTGACATTATCAAAGCATTGTTATCTAAGAGCCGAATTATACTTTTGACTTTAGGCTCTTAATGGCAGAAGTAGAGGTTTTTAGCTTTACTAATGATTGAAGCCATCTTGGAAAAACAATTGTTGGAAAAACAATTGTTATGACTACTAAAGCACTATGTCTACTTTTACTTTTTTTTTTTCAAGAAAAAAAAAAAGTATCTTCGTTACAATATTTTGATAATGAGGAGGTAAACTACTATTATTCAAGGGTGATAATTTGGAATGCTGCTTAGCTGCTCAGTTTCTTTCTGCAAGGAAAAAGAGAAAAAGAAAAAAAAAAAAGAAGGAAAAAAAAAAAAAAAAAAAAAAAAAAAAAAAAAAAAGCCAAAACAAAACCCAACCTCTGTGCTTTCTGAGCAGCTTGGAGTCATTAATGTGCAAGAACTATGTAGAGAGAAAATATCTAGATCAGCCCCATACTCCCTCTTGTGGTTGACATTGATGAACATGAAAAATATACGTATTTCTATATTTTAACACATTTGTATATATGAAGCATAAGTGTTCCTTTTTTATTTATTTATTTTGATGTGTAGTTGATCTATTATCTCTATTTGCAAAAAGCTCTAATTTCCTTCATATAAATTGTCTCAAAATATGTCATTCATCCTACGGATATTCAGAATTAAAGTACTTCATTCTTAACCCAGTCCTCTTTCTGGGAGTTCCCAAATCCAGTGAAACAACTACTTTTATTCCACATTGCATGTCTTAGTTAAGGAGACTTTAACGTTTACTCAATATAACCAAAAAAGCTTACCCTTCTACTACTCAGTTAAAAGAAAAATGTCTTTTAATGATAAAGAGCTATTTAAAGAAGTGAAAGGGGTTTCAGTGTCAGTAACTCTTGCAGGGCTTTGCTATGTCCTTGCTACTTCAGTCTAACTTCTTTTAACTTTTAAGGCTTAAAGACATGCACTTAGCAGCATTTCTAACCTCAGTAAAAATAAATAAAAACATTCTGTTTGTATGTTTTTAATTACAGAAAGGGATCATTTTCATTTGTAGTTATTACCATTTGAAGAAGATTGAAAGAGAAATAATCCTGACAAATTCAAAATTCTGAAAAACAGGTTGGCTACAGATGAATGGATTCTGGAATATTCCATACTATTTTTATCAACATTTTGCTATTGTTAGGTGTCATGTGCTTAAATAACTGTCACAATGGGAAATAAACCCTCTACTTATTAATGTTTGTGATAATTCATCTATTGTGTTGCTCTTCATATTTTTATTAAACCTCACCCAAAATTTTCCAAACCTTTCTCTAATTCTTCTTTATTTAAATATGGAAGCTTATAATAGAAGGTGAAAAGGGTGACATAGAAATATTTTTTGATACTTCCTTTAATGTGTATATTTTGTGTGTGTGTGTGTGTGTTTTTTCATGTAGAAAAGTGACAATCATGGAAGACCCTGATCAGAACATTCATCTGAAGAACCTGTCTCTTCAGCAAGCAGCTAATGAAGAAGAAGCCCTAAACCTGCTGTTCTTGGGAGACACCAATAGAATGATTGCTGAGGTAATAACTGCTTACTTACACAAAGCTTACTAGACGACATCAGAATTAAATGGTTATAAACCTCTCTACATAATAATTTGCTAGGCTGCACACGGTGATAAATGAATAGGTTCCTGCTTGCTTGGTGTATTTCCAAAGGTGAAATTTAACAAGCATTTCTATCGCTAAATCTTCAACTTCCAGAAAGCTTTATGTTTTCACATAGCGAATCTGATTGGTGGTGGCTGGTGTAATAATTTGCTGCAATTAAGGTAAGTAAAATAAAAAGGTTTTTTCATAAAAACACTGTCCTTTGAATATTGTACATATCAACATAAATGCATATTTAAAGATTAAAAAAAAGAAATCTTTATGACACATTGTGAAGCTTCCCCACAGGTTTGTCTTTGAAGTAGTTACAGTAATGATTAGCAGTCCCTTTTTTCTTATAAATCTGTAAAAATTTACGCTTATGTGTGAGGATGCAAATGAGGGAGTGTAGCGCATTCAAAATATTTGTTCGTATGCAAAGGCAAGAGTAATTTTACTGATTCTGGATAAATCAAGTGAATGAAGTATGTATTGTTTTCATTGCCAATTAAATATTGGGAAGAAGAGTTCTTGGAAATGGAATGTGAGTATAAAAACCATGTTATACAATGTGAGCATTGTAATTTCTGAATAGATGTATCTTTATCCCTACAGCTAATCATATTTTAGAAATTTGTGTGTTTGTTTTCCTGTTTGACCAAGAAGATGATGTGACCAAATCCATGAAGTGAAAAAATGCATTCAAAGTAGCTCTCTGAGCTGGCTGGTCATCCACACTTAGGCAGAGAGGGAGAAGCATTGATAAGAAAATATAGATATGCAAAAAAAGATCTTTTCTCCCTTTCTCAAGGAAGACTATTTTAGCAGTGATGTTTTGAGAGGCAGAAAGAGATGATGAAGCTGTAATTAAAGCTTTTTTAAATAAATATTGAGGTGAGGGAGAGTTTGATTTTGAAAGGGAAAAAGTGTGCAATTTATAACAGAGGAATTTGAAAAAGCATAGCTGTGGAAAGCCAAAGATGATGTTGCATCAAGAAGACTTGAAAGACTGATGTGATTATTATTCTGCTTTCCAGTGAGAATTAAGTTAATGAGATGGAGAAAAATGTTCAGGAAATGTGAACCTAATTTTGATGAGATGAGTAGGAGAATGAGATGGGATACCTAATGAATGATGTGCTCCTGATTGATAGTCCCATAAATCAACAGTTGTAAAGGATGGTAGCATTGCATACATAGAAAATGTCACCTAAAGAGAAAATATATCCCAAACAGTCATGATCAAAAAGCAGAACTAGTGAATATATTAAGTCATTAGAACTCCAAATAAAGTGTAGCACTCTGTAATGATATAAGAATATTCTTAATGAGCTATATGTCTGTCCCACTTTCTCTTTTCAAATAACGGCCAGTAGCAGATATATAGAGGGGAATAAAAAAAAAAAGTAAGTAAATAATGATACTTTCTGAAAAGCTAGTCTTCATTAATTTGTGACCTAGACTTTCTGCAGCCAATAATCTGTGTTGTTTTTTTCTCACATGAATTAATTCAGAAACTCTTTTAAGATATGTAATTTTATCATCCCAACTCTCATGTGACACAAAGTTCCATGAATTAACTATGCTGTACAAAGAAAACAATAGTCTGTTTTTGAATCTACAGCTTGGTAATTTTGTTTGAGGCTTGCTATTACTTGATAGAAAACACAAGAGTAGGCAGGGAGAATGTGCTGGAAAATATAACTGAACCGTAAGAGTGGCAAACATTTACAATGTGCCCATCTAACACAGAATTCAGTAATCCATATGGCTTGGATTAGATAATTCTGTGCCATTGCTGCTTCTGCTGCTTTTGCTGTAGTAAGGTTGTTTTGTGTTATATAAATGCTGCAAAGTTATTGCTTTGATGTTGTTTAATGCAGGATACTTAAGAGAAAAAAATTGTTAGCATATTCCAAGAAAACTTACTTGGCACATCAACTGTCTGTTGTAGCAATGTGTTCTTTAATTGATCTGAACGCTGCTAGAATCCTCACCACTTGAAACAAGTGAGATTTCAGTCCAACAATTTTACTTATATAATTAAGTTGTGCATTGTTGACTTGCGATAGTAGCAGGCTTGTTTCAGACTCATGTGCTTACTGAGTGCCCTGACCATTTGTTATGAAATATATCACCCATGATCCTTTGGTCTTGTGGTTTTAGGTCACTGTGGTACTGTATGTGATGACTTCACAGGACGAGAAAATTGTGGTTGCAGAAATGAGAGATTAATGTAAAGGTCTGTGAAAGAGGGTTTGTGAAATCAGCTGTAACTTCTTCAGATACTTGTGTTGTTAACACTTAATTGAATTTTTACAAAATTTCCTTACCTCAAGAATAGACCCTATTTCACTAAGCTTTGAAGATGCAAAGTGAATAAACCTAAACATATAATGAAGTAAAAGAAAAACTAGCCCTGATTTTTGTTTTTTATTGATGAGGAGTTTAGGTATAGAAAAACTAGGTTGAGTGCTGTGGCTCTCACTGGAAATCTGTGGCAGAACTCCAGTCTTCAGAATTTGTCTAATGCTTTACCCATGAGATAATGCTTCTTTGAACAGTTATAGGACCATTTTGAAAATAAGAATGACAATATAAAGTGTAAGATTTCAGAAATGATAGAGATGGGAATCTAACTTGTGTTCTGAAGGATGTATTTTGCTCTCAACTGATTGTACTGATTGTACTTTAAAAGAAAAAAAAACAGTATTTGTGATTTTAAATTCATTCTTTAGACTACATTTATTCATTAATTATAGAAAATAATGAGCATTTATGACAGAGTGCTAACAGGAAGAAATGAAAATGTGAGAAATTTATGCATAAATGCTTTATAATATAAAAATCCAGATAGGAAGTTTTCATCTCGTGCATTATGGCAGGAAAAAGTGGACAGAGAACAAATCCAACAAATTGATTGATATTTTGGCAGCTCTTCCAGCTGTTCTGACCATTTTGTCTGTTAGCTTTTATCCCTAAAACAGTCCCTTGTTGCATTTGAATACATAAGATTCCCAGTAACAGGCTATAAAAAAAATCTTTTTTAAAAATTATTTCTTGATATTTTGATTTTTAAGCCATCTTCATGATTTAGGTAGTTCAAAAATGTGCCTACAAGAGATTCCAAAATCTACTTTGCATATATGACAGAGGTGGTAGTGGCAGCATCTAGAAAAGCCCAGGGAAACGAAGAAGTGCTTGTCTGTTCAGGTAGCATTCGCAAACACTTTATTCTGGTAGATGTGCTATTAGGATGCCTGGTGCTGAGATTTTTCTTATCTAAATTCTTGTGATTGGAAGCTCTCGTGATTACTATCCTTTGAAATAATATGCCTGACCCTCTGTGATAGCCTTTTCTAGTACTTCTTTTAAAATAGCAGATCAGTGTAAAGCCAGTAGCCTCCCAAGCACGTACATCAATTTCAAAACTGTTAAATCTTTAAGCAAGATTGATAGGTCCTTACACTGCAGTTTCATGTAAATTCAGCATTTGTTTTTCCTTTAATGAAAAGTTACTTTATTTTAACAAGAAAGAAAATGTGTTAGTGCATGGTTTTATAACTATCACTCTTCAATGTTTAAATTTGGAAGACAGTGCATACACAATATTGTTACAGTCTTTAAAATCCTTGAAGTATGCATGGGACAAGCAGCAGACTTTTGGCAATCTTTTCATTCTTTACTGGCAAAAAACGTTTTTAGCTTTAAGGCATTTAACAATAGTTGTGAGGACTGACTTGTGACATCTGAGTTCAGCTCATTCCATTTATAGTTAATTTTATTGTTAATTAGCATTGTCCTGAATATGTTGGAGAACCACTTGCGGTGCCTGAACACTTCTTGGATAAAATAGTAAAAATAGGGTTTGACAACATATGTGAATATACCACATCAAAAGACACTTTTCTCAAGAGTTGATGTGTTTTCCATGTTAAGGCTGCTTTCCAAACTGAATTAACAACTTTACGCTCCCCTAAATTCCTCATTGGTGCTAATTGTTAACCCTCTCACAAACCCATGATGTATTATTACTAGCACCAAATAGCATCACAATATCAGCACAGGTGTTTTCATTATAGTGCATGGTAAAACAATCGCTATCTCTTTTTCTGAATAGTCTTTAAAGTACATTGGGATATTTATGGATAAAAGGTGTGGTATATTCTAAAGCTTAGTAATCTCCCCATGGAATAGTAATTGCTTTAAAAGTTACCTCATTGCTATGGTCTAACTGCTAAATTGTATTGGTAGTAAATATGCAAAGATGCTTTTAGAAATCAGGAAAGTGTCAGAGTTTCTCTTCCTTATATTTTCATAATAGATATGTTTTGCAACTTTATCTGTGTCAAGTGTATCTAAATGCTCCATAGGAGCCATTTGTACCATATTAATAGGAAAGGGATTTAAGGATATATAAAGGTCATCCAGGAGATAAAAAAGCAATTCTCACTGAACTCACATGCCCTTCTAAATACCATGGGCCCTGTCGGAGCTCATAGAGTTTATATCCACTGCTTTTCAGCCCAGGAATCTCTGCTTCTTCTGCCTTCAATAAACTTATGACATTCTGTGCTGTTATCCAAAATTGTTTTCTTACCGTCTGAACTGTAAAATGACTGAAGCTGTCAAAACTACTTCTTTATCAGAAGATAGCTTAATATTGTAGAAGGTCAGCTACCCAGCTTTGATGCTAAAAACAACCAAAGAATATAGGACATACATAAAATTATTGTATAGGGTGGGACTCCCACAGTTTTCTTGTAGATTTGGGATAGCCATCAATTGAAATTTAAATCTTATACCTTAAACATTCCACTTGGGCTCCAACAACTTCTACAGCATGGTTTTTGCCATTTTATGAGGTCTTATTCCTTGACCAAAGGATCCGAATCAGATGCTTCTTGAAATACAGCTGTGTTGCAGAAGCACAACTGGCTTCATTTTAATGAAAGAATCTGTTTCATAAGTTCCAGGAATTCCACATATGTATCCGTATGCAAAATGCTGAGAATTTCTGATGATCTGTCTACTAAAGCTGTTTTGGTATTAATGTAACTTGATTAGTAATGTCAATCTTTCTTTCCTTTTTAAATTCCGTTTCACATTTCCACAGGTTATGCTTAAGCTTTCAGTGGTAGTATGACTAGTACACCAGTTTAAGTCACAAAGCTTTTAAAAACTTCATTTAATTTCAGCAAACACAGATGTGTTGTGATCCTGTAGAGAAATGAGGTTGAGTCCCAATGTCCTTCACATCTCTTGTTTGTATTTTCCTACATCAGAACAAGAACCAATGCTTTACTAAGAAGTGATCTTGTAACATACATGTTACTAGATTCCTGTTTTACCAATAACACAAAGGGGCAGCATTAGGTGACCTGGAATTAATTCCGTTGTATTGTTCACGTGGTATGACAGAGGAATTGAAGTCTGTTTCTGTGGTCAATGATGTCACAGAAATCCTGGAAGAAATTAGTTCTTTGTAAGTGCCTGCAGCTTGTCTGTTCTTCTCTACATAGTGTTCACAATGGCAACCAGCTGCTGAGAGGCAGACCACTCCTCCCTTCCACTCCCCTCAACACATCAAATTAATGTGAGGATGATTGCAAATATATATGAATTGCTAATAAAGCCAAGATGAGCTCTGAAGGCGACTAATGGAACCCTCTGAGACCTTTTTCAGATATTTTTGTTTGCTTGTTCATAAACTTTATGAGCAGCCAAATGATGATACACAATGAAGTTTCATATACAAGATAATAGAAGAAAAGCCGTCTTTTTAAGACCAAAGATGGTGACAGGTTCTCAGCTCTGTTACTTTTTACCTCCTTGTGTGGTACTAGTGGCAAAGTGTGGAGGATTACGACTGTAATTAACATTTCATAATCACCTCCTATTTAACAGTTTACATTTTATTGCCTTACACTTCCTGCAAGAGTTTTAATGGAGCTTTCTATATGTGGGAATGCTGTAACTAAATACGTATGAATTGCAAAGCAGAGATAGAAAGATACTATTTAAAAGCTGTATTGGTTAAATCACAGCTCTCCTCTGAAGATTTTTTTAAAAATAGCAGTTTAAGATTCTAGCCAGTGACTTTCAGATCAGTTTTGCTCATTTTTCATGTAAAGAAGCTGTGGAGAGAAAAGCAGTGGAGTTTGTAATGAGCAGCCCAGCAGAGTCTGTGTGGGATGTGGAAAATCAAGTTGTGGTTAGTGTGTTACTGTTAGCAATGAAGACCTTACAGACCTAAGCCCTGAGCTAATTGTTGGCACTGAGTCCTGAATTTATTCTCTTTTATGTCTCTCTAACTTTGTTGCTTTTGGGGAGCTAAAAAGGTGTTATTAGAAGTGCATTTTGAAAAATTTGAGATTTTACTATGTAGTGAAATTTAAAAACGCTTAAACATGATAATTTTTCCTGCTTCTTGCTTTGGTTTAGCAGCCTTTACTGAACCCTGCGCTTCCACAGCTAGACTTATGTTAATATTCAATCTGATTTAGACTTATCTTGGATGCAGTGTGACCAGTGCCATGACTGTAATGCAGAATATCCTTATATGTTAATTCTGTTGAGGACTGTGAGCTGGAAAAATAAAATATCCAGTCCTCCTCCACAGAGGTATGAGTAGTAAAGTCACAGTTCTCCTAGTAAAATAAGTGGAAATGTGGATTTGATTATTTATGGAATTAGAATTGCTGCATAAAGTGTATTTTATCAGCATATTGCTTTTTCTTAGTATAACTGCATTTTATATATGTTTGGGATGTGCATTTTCTTACTGTTCATGCAATAACTTACTGACCTTTTGTTTAGCTTCACCCCTGAAGAGAACATATCATGTAACTGAACTTTCCTGCTCTGTACAAGGTTATGAAATGATCCTTAGAAACCTGGCTGTTAAATTGACAAGTTACTTTCCTGTATTGTTACAAAATTCCTCACCTGTATATTCTAAATGATTAAAACTCTCTTCCATCTCCCTCTGAATTTGGCCTTGTTGGGAAAAGTAGCTCATAAGAAAATAGTGCTAAGGCTGTAATTTCATTACGGAATTTTCACCATCACTCTAAGTTTAAGGTCTTCCTGCACACCACCTACTTGTTCGCATGCTGTGTGCTGCCATTTTCAATTATTCTAGCGGCACAGCTTTATAGAGCTGTTCTGTGAATTAATCAGAAAATTTATTAAGATTAAATATCTATGGTTTGGAGCTGGATCCCACAGCAATTCGGGACTTTGCAATATGCTTGCACAGTGAATGGAATGGGATGCTGCAGCAGGGCTGGAAAAAAAAATAGGGAAGTGGAAGTGGAGAACCTTAAACCAAAAAATTCATGTTATTCCTGTTATAGGAATATTCAGCTTGCAGTCTGTCTTTGTTGAGAGCTCAATTTACTTCAACACAACAACTTCAACACTTGGAAGATGCAGGCTCATTCAGCATCTAAAATGTGTAGTATCAAAGCAGACTGCAGAAGAAAAAATCTTTTGATATATCTATTATGAATCTCAGGATAATATTAACTCTGGTAAAATAAGGAATAAAGTATAAACAAGATGCTAATGTATGTTTAGTCAGATTTTTTTAATCAGTCATAAATAATTATAGATTTAGCTACTAATTGCAAATAAAATTAGTTATTTTTAAATTTATTTTTAAGTTTATTTTACTACCTTAGTTTTTTTTCAAGGAAGTACTTATGCACAAATATAAATGTGCTCGTTATAATTTATGTATGTAAAGGAAATTCCCTAAAAAGGAAAAAATCTTATTTGTGCGGCAAACCTTTAACCTCAGTATGTTTATTAAAGCTTTTTCCGTTCATGAAATGAGGATAGTAACTTCTTCTTAGTTTACTGTTTGCAGTAGCATGATATTAGTAGCCTTTAGAATTATAGCATCCTTTAGACGCTAAGATATATCTCATATATTCTAAGAAAAGTGCACATTTGATATGAAAAGCCAAAGCTAAGTATATGAGTGAAACTTAAAATGCTGTGTCTTGTGTTTTTAAAACTGGGAATTCTGCTAGCATCATAGTAAAGCAAGAAGTCAGCATCTCTAAAAATTCACCAAGAATTCCCAGATGTCAGTCTGTCAGCAGCTAAGGAAAAATTTCAGTGGCTATTCCAAAAATTGGCAGATATCGGGCAAAAAAAAAAGAAAGAAAAAAAACCAGGTAGTTCTAGTGATTTTACTGAGAAACAGACACTAGTTTCTGTGTAAAATCTTATATAGATATCGTGATGTCAAACTGATGTGCTACAAATGTACATCTGTGTAATAATTAAGTTATTCTGCAGTGCTTTTGCAGCTTTCTGTAGATGATAATATTATATTCTTCCCAAGTGATTTGGTAGATTCTCAAATCAGGTAGTTAGCATAAAACTTGCTTATCCTTTCTTTGCTACGCTTCAGAGTTATAGGATATAGGTCTTGATCTGCCTTTCACATCATACTGTTAGATACAGTGCATACATACAATACATAATGCATTCCATAAGCAAGCACTATTTATAAAATTTTTTGAAAAGTTACCTAGACAGGCTATGAGAAATAGAATGCCAATGTATAGTAGAGAGTGTATCTCAAATTTCTAATCCAACCGGTCATGCAACTAGATGTTTATTCAAATTCTTTCCATGAAAATGGTTTCTGAAATAACCTTGTTCTTGTAAACCTATGTTGTTTTCATCATTTTTGCATGAACTGGAAGTATACCAATCAGCCAAAGATCTGATTTTACACAGATTGCCAAGATCATCTGCAGGAGGTCTTCTGATGCTAATGCTGAAAGTCATGTGCCTTCTGCAAATCTAGGACTAGCAATGCATTTTATGCTCCTGCTAGAATCTTTTCTTTTTCTTTTTTTTTCTTTTTCTTTTTCTTGTCATAGACACCAATGAACCAAGCCTCAACCAGATCTCACTGCATTTTCACTATTCACATCTCCAGCAAGGAACCTGGATCTGCAACCATCCGACGCTCCAAGTTGCACTTAGTAGATCTTGCTGGATCAGAACGTGTTACAAAGACTGGAGTTGGCGGTCATTTGTTGACAGAAGCCAAATATATCAACCTATCATTACATTATTTGGAACAGGTAAAAGTAAAATAGTACAAAACATTTATCTTTGCCCTACAGGTCACCTGAGCAATGTGCATTGCTTTGGAAATTTTGCTTCCCAAGTTCAGTTATTCTTAATATTGTGTATTTATCTCATTTTTTTAAATGTCTGAGTTGATAGCTCCTCGTTTGAAATAAAATACTTTTGAAACCTTCATATTTAAAAACTGTGTAATAATCAAAACAATAAAGTCACATTAGGTATACATGCTTGTGTTTCAGGAATGATTTTCTTGTTTTGCTTAGAATACTGAAAATATTAACAAGTTTGAAACTCTGTTTTTGCTTAAAATTTTCTTTGTGATCTTCACCACCTCTCCACACCTGGGGTTAGGTTGTATCACTCAAGAGTTATGGAACTGAAGTTGGTTCAAAAAGAAATGTGATATGGTAAGGCATTATATTCTTCCCTCATCTGCTGTTTCATTTGTCTACAAAAGAGAACATTTGACCTCTTTTACACAATAATTACCTTTCCTATTGCATTTATTGAGCAACTGCCACAATTGTTTTTAAATCAATAGAACTCGTAGATGCAACTGTAATAATTGTAAATATCCACACCTCGGAGGAATTAAACCATTTTGTCATTTGCTATGTATTCTTTTTTTCTTTACAGCCATCTGGAGTTTTAAAGGAAAAAGAAATCCTGTCTGATACTTTCTTAGATTATATTAAAAAAATACATTGGGAAAGCTGAAAATTCTTCCTTGTCCCTATTTATTGAGTTGACAAAGTTCAGTATCTAATTCTTGTTTTGACGTAAAAAGGAAGTAAAAGTGGTAAAACTGGTGGGACTACAGAAGTGAGAAAAGTGGTTTTCAAACCTTGCAGCTGTTAAAGGAATGAGGTTCTCTAAGTCTGAAAACATAGTATTACTTCCATAGTCCAGTAAATGCTATTTTTGTTGCCAGACACTTGGTAATTTTGAAATTCTACTAGAAAATACAGAAGTTTTTAATTTAGTTTTTGGAAAAAATATTGTTTGCTACAATGCTAAGGTACATACTCATCTGTGAGGCTGATCATTTGGTGGGAGAAATAGGAAAAAAGTATAAAGAACAATGATTAATTATGAAATTCAAATTTGTTCATTTAATTTATTACTGTATGTGTTATTTGGTAAAATTGGAAGTTGATGAAATCCTTCAAAGTAGGAAATTTTGTCCTTGTTTATATGTATGAATACTTTAAAACTGTGATTATAATTTTTTTTTTACTTTCTATTTTTCAATTTTATGGGATTTTTGTTATTGTTAACAATAACAAATGTCTTTAGTTTTCATTTAATCTACAGTCAGAGGTATTTAATATGACAAAAAGGGAGACAAGGCACAGCAGATGGCAGTCAGTCATTTACTATTAAACTGGCTTATTTTCATAGCCCCATTTGTTTAAATTTGATCTTGAAGGAAAATGTTTGTGTTTTAGTTATGCTCACGGTAAGTGATAAAGATAAATGATTCAAAAATTGGCCTCTTCTGAGTCATAAATAGTCATAAATTGCTTATTATGTCAGCTCACAGTCTTTTTTCTGTATAAATTTACCTATTTACTGTACAGCGTCATTTAACCATTTGAGGTTGAATTTAATAATCTCTGGAATGCATTTTAGGATACTCATGTTTGAAGCATCATAGAAGAGAAAATAGTAGCATTTTGTCATGTAACTTTTAACTCCTACATATAGCATTCTGGGTTCTGCTTGGAATTGTGTATCATTAATAAAAATGTTTACTATTCTAAATAAAAGAGTAATGAAGACTAATAACTTGTGTCCAGTAGGAAGTAGACCATTCAATCCTGATTCTGCTGTGACTAATATTAAAGTGCAAGCATTCCCCAAAATAATTTATTTGCATGTTCAACTGTTTAGTTATGATCCATTGATATTTTACTGCATGTATCTGCACAGGCCCAGACTTGCTACCATAGATGCTTCAGACCAGTATTAACAGAATATGTTGTCCAGATATAAGAGTGCTTGCAGCTAGTTGTAAGATGCCTGCAGAAGCGGTGGGGCATAGTGCTGCAAGGAGTAGAGCTTAAACTGATAAACGTTCCTAGAGGTGGGATGAGAGAATGGATTGCTAGAAATTAAAGGGCAGTGGAGATATGGGCAGGGATGTGAAAGGCGCTGGAACATGGATCAAGGGCAATAACAGAGATCTTGTAACTGTGGATGGGCAGAAGCAGCAAGGGAAACCTCTGGTGTAGGAAGACGACTTCAAAGCATGCGATGCAGGTAGCTACAGCGTGGGGATGCACCAATAACTCCGTACCTCCTGGAGATGCATCCGCAAATCCTTGTCTCCTGTGCACGCCCTGCCTGGCTGCCCGGGGCATGTGTTTATGCCTTTTCTTTGCACCAAGGTTACTGTTTGCGTAGCGCATGTGAACAGTTCTCTTGGGCACATTGCAGAGGGTATTGTAATAGCTTGCGACTCTCAGGTCTTATTTTATTCTTTATATTTTTTCAGTAAAGCTGTTTGTGCATGATTGTATGTGTAGTATTTATTGCTTGTTCTTTGTTATGTTTCCTGCAGTATACAGTGCTACGCTTGCAGTTTTCACATAAGTGAGAATATCTCTGACTGCTTTCACCTTTAAAAGGTTAAAGAGGTCTTAAAGTGGTTTATTTCACCTGTTCCTTCTCCAGTAAAGCTTTATGGCCTAAGTGATGGTGATTCAAATTGACATATAGCAATTTTGGTTCATCAATAATATTAAGGCCTGTCAAAATGAGACCTGCCAGTATCGAAGGAACTTTAGCCATCATATCTTGTGTTACATGACTCTCACAACAGTAAAGGTGCTTCTGCATAGTGAGAGTGGGTTGCATAGTTTTTCACCACTAACATGGATTGGTTTCAAATTTTGTTTGGGCTATAGACTTCCTGTGTGAACTTTTCCGTAACACAGTTACCATTTTAAATAGAAATAATATTTCTTTCCCCTCGTTCTTTTCCCATGTTGTCTAATCAGAATGTAGTCTCTGTATTGCAGACTGTAAGTGTACATACTAAGGCATAATCTATATTACCTAAGCTTTTAGGCAATATGATAAGTGTATGTATATACATACATGTTTGTATGTAAATATACTTTGTATATTATATATAATATTATTCTAAAGTAATAACAACAATATATATTATATATAAAGATAGATATAACATACATTCATCTAACAAATTATAAGACGTGAAATGTTAAAACATTGCTCCAGAAATATGCTTTCAGATTGCTTTACAAGATCATTATTTTCATGTTATATATTTGTCCCTCTGAGGGCTTTTACTATAAAATTTATAAGAAGAAATTTTGACTTTCTGAGGACTATTAAGAAAAACTAGTGCCAGCAAAAATATTAACATTAGGTTTTCTAAAATAACATTTTTTTAAATGCAGTATAAACAAAATATATGTTGGTATGTAACACTTCTCAAATGAAAATCTTCTAACCATTTAGGATAGCTTATATAACTCATATAGCTACAGTTTTTCAATACAGTACTTGGCCAGATAGCAGCTCAAATCTTTTGTATCACAACAGTCCATGGGGTAATCTAGGTTTTTATTTAATAATAATTAGGTCTCATAAATGTAAACAGTTGAGAGGGAAACCGAGAATAGTAGCTGTATCATTTCCTTTTTGGCCAAGATAGTTCTACATAAACTGAATTAGCCTATTTCTTTCCAGCAGTACATGGCAACAGTGCACGATTTTATTTGTGTATGTACTCTTCAAAACATCATTTCTAGGAAATAAATTAATTGATTCCTCTAAGAACTGTGTATTTTAAGAATGTGTCATTTTTAAAGCAAGCTTTAGCAAATGTTAACGATGTTTTTAGTTGAATACTATTCATATTTTAATTTCTTGTTATGCTAGAAAACATTCAGAGAAGATTTTCAATAGCTTACTGTGTCTCAGGAAGCTCCGTGGTTTTGAGTTTATATGTGCAGTTTTCATTTTGCTGTGAAACTGTAAAGTTAGGATCTAATAAAATTAAATTCATTTAGTGTCTCAGGTCCAGCTCCTATAAAGATGTAAAAGCAGGCTCTAATTTAAGTGATAATTGCTTCAGTAAAATCAGTGAGTTTGCAGGCGTAACTGTTTAGTTTTTGTTATATCAAAAGTTTAGGCTGCTGACCATATTTTTTTGTTCTTTCTGTGTTGAATATTAACATATATGTACATTTAAAAGCCTTTTTCTATTTTTACTATTATTTCAGGTAATAATTGCCCTTGCAGAGAAAAATCGGTCACACATTCCCTACAGAAACTCTATGATGACCTCAGTGCTAAGAGACAGTCTGGGAGGAAACTGTATGACTACCATGATAGCAACGCTGTCTTTAGACAAAAGAAACATAGATGTATGTTATTTCTATCTGTTTTCAAGGGGGGAAAAAAAAAATTGTTAGGGAATCTTTTTTTTTTCTTTTTTTTGACTTTTATTACAGTTTGCAGTTCAAGAATGAATGTTTTCTTTCTTATCCTCACAAAAAAAAATCTGTTGTCTTCAGAAGATAGTTCTCTGGTAACTACAGTAAGATAGAGATTAATTCTGTACAAGAGATCTGTGTCACTGATTTTATATTTCAGGTGCAACTTCTACCAAAGGATCAAGGCATATATTTACCTAGCACATCTGTCTCTTATTGCTGTCCAATTTTCTATGTCTGAAATATTCAGCCCTGGCAATTATTTAGAATAAGATTCCAACAACTTTAATGTTCTTGCTTGAAATATATGCAGAACTGATCCAGGTGCTTGGTCCTCCCAAATTAAGGGCAATTATTTAGAATAAGATTCCAACAGCTTTAATGTTCTTGCTTGAACATAGACTATATGCAGAACAGATCCGGGTGCTTGGTCCTCCCAAACTAAACAGAAGTCCCAAAATCCAATATGCATAAGTAATATTAGGACAGATATTAAACCTATTCCTAAATATTAGGAAATGCCAAATTTGGGCTCACTGTTTAATTTTGAGCCCTGAGAGACATTATGCCATTATCAGGCATGGGTATTTTTTTTCTTCAAATGTTTCAAATGAAAACAATAAAGCATGGAACTGAGAATAAGAAAGGGCATTCTTATAGTAGACTGTTGCCTACATCATTACATTAGAGCTCCTATCAAACAGTTTGTATAAAGCTCATGTCACTTATTTCATGCTAGCTTGTGCTTGAAAGTAAATCTTGGCTTGAAATTGCAGATATTTAATTATTATAGCTGTAGCTACACTTGAATGGACTCAGTTATCAGCAGAAGATACAAATGATAATCAGAAAAACAGGTTTTTTTATCATTCTAATGTGTAATTAAAATTCATGGATATTTTTGAGTTAAATTTCCCTTCTGTATTGTGCAGTTATTCCACCCCCTTATAGCTAGGCACTACTTAGAGAGTTACTTAATTTTTGTGTGGTCCCCAGGGCCTGAGGCAATAAGCATGGTAGAAAGAATGATTGGGAAATTAGTAGTTCTCAGCATTGATTAGTATTTTAATAGCATAGGATAAATAGATCATAAATTTATACAGTGAACATTAAATTAATATATACTTCAAAGTGAATACTGCAAAATGGTCTAATGGAAATGCATATATATGTATAATGTACATATAATTGTACTTAGTGAAAATATGGAACTTAACTAAAATTACATTAACTGATTATAATTACACAGGAACTGTACAGCAAAAGTGAACAGAATCCAGCTAAGAATATGTGCAGCTGTCTTAAGCAAAAGGCCTTCCTTTCTTTTCCTAGAGAACTCATTTCATTCACTCTTCTGCTGTAAACAGCAGTCTTTCATGTTCATGTGTTTTGGGCAACTGAATAAAATTCCTTTATTTTGGAAATAGGATTCTGTAATTAATAATTTTCTATCAATGTAGGAAATTATGTTATTTTATATTTTAATAATGTCAAACTGCTGAATCGGAGAATTTCACCATATAGTTTATGACGCATTATTTGAACTTCTAAGACTGCAAGACATTTTATTGTGTGAGCTAACTGAGATCCCTTGGTTGCTTTTATCTGTTAGGTAGGTAGGTTCTTTAGTGTAGTCTGGTATTTAAGTATTTGGTGACCTCAAAGATCTTTTTCTGACCTGGAGATCTTCCATTCCTTCCATATCCTAGAAGGATGTACTAGTTGTACTGGATATACCTAGATGTACTGGTGGCTACAGACTGTCTTGCGCTTTTCCATTTTTTAGCTTTTTAATAGGACCCCCACACCACCACCATCGCTACTGCCTGCTTAGCTCAGCCCTCTCACAGTTTCTTGTCTTATAATTCTCCTGTATCCTGGATGCCTCTAGCTGCAAGTCCCTATGCTGGTTTCTCTGACTTGCATACTAGGCTCCCACTGTCCTCCCATTCACTTCTTTGCCCTTCTTTAACATGTGCTTTTCCATTTCCAGTTTCATCAAAAATGTTTTTAGTTGATTTTCCTTTTTTCTCGTGAGTCAAGCATTTTTCCTCTCGTGAGTTCCCCTCTGATGCCTTTCTTATCCTTTGTGTTAGCTGGGGAATCATTCAAAGCATAGTAGATCAGTGTTTGGTTTGAGAGTTTATATATTGGTTTCATTAATATGCTAACCTATTACTCTTGAATATTGCTGCTTTGGAGTATGAAATCTTGAATTGGTTCTGTAAAATATACAAAGAGGGGAGCTTGTTTTGGTGACTTCATAGGATCTCTGTTCCAGTTACCTGGTGCCAATCTGTTTTTTTCTTTTTTTCCTCCTTCTAGGAATCTATATCAACCTGCAGATTTGCACAGCGAGTTGCTCTTATTAAGAATGAAGCAGTTCTTAATGAAGAAGTTGACCCTAGGCTGGTGAGAATTGTTTGGGGACGGAGGGAAGGGGATTGCCTGTTTTTTAGGTTTAGTGATCTAAAACAATCAAAGAGATGTTGAAAATTTTATGATGAATCATCCTATTAAATGATTTTTAGATGTAAATTCCAGCCTTCTATTTAAAACAGCTACTGCTTTTATTTAAACTTCTGGGGATAATTACAGTTAAGCCGATCTTTATAAAACCTCTACAGGTTTTCTCAGCCCCTAAAGCAGCTGATACATTCTGGTCTTTGTGTCGACAACAGTATTGTCTTTATGTTGGTTCTTTTAGGGTGATAGTTTCTAAATCATTGTCACAGATAATCAGACGTTCCTAAAGCTCTTAAAAATCTACAAATATCACTAATCACTTGATGATGCTTGTTATTCTTCTTTACTTTGGTATCATACACCATGGATTAAAGACATTGATGAATTCATTAATTATTTCATTTTTTGAAGAAAAATGTATGTATTAAATGAGCATCCATCTGGTATTGTATTGAGTTACAGTTTGCAACATGTAAGTTCCAGTGAATTTCATCTTGAAGATACTGGTGAGTCACTGCTATAATTTTGTCTTTTGGAGATATAATCCACTTAGTTGCGGTCAAATTACCTTGGTCAATGCTAGCAATATAGCTGCTGAGCACGGAGGGCTGCACAGTTTAGCCATCGCAGCATTTTCTCATTTCAGGATTCTGAGAGGCAATTGCGGCTGCTGCTAGGGGTTAGTCTGCCACAGAGCTGTGATGTGAACTGTGGCTTCTGAGCCAGTTTTGTCCTTAGCATTTGCAGAAAACGGGCAGAAGCAGTTTATCTAGTGTCTTTCTTCTAGGTGAGGCGGCACCTGAGTTTCTACAGGATGCCAGTCAGATGGTTTTGCTGCGGGTATTTCTCTAGATAAATGCCTTCCTACTAGGCAGTTAGTTCTGAGGAATCTCACAACAAAATTAGTTCATTCTCCGGCCTGTTCTCTCCTTGACTTTACTTTTCTTGAGTACAATTGCCTATGCATCTCTTGTTTGTTGCTGTTGTTTACAGTTATATGAATTATATGAATGAATCCATGAAATTTATTTAACGTGAAATTGTTTCTCCATTTTCTCTGTCGTCATCCATAAATAACTTAAAAGGAAAGAAAAAAGAAAAAAAAAGAAAATGTGCGGAAGATACAGATTTACAAGCATAATTAGTATTTATGTCAGTGGATATTTATTATTTAATGTGGTGGTTTAATATCAAAGAATTTATGCACATTTCATCCTCTCTCTATATTTCTTAGCAATGACAGAACCTACAAGGAAATCAATACACCCGACTTAGCGTTATCATATCTTTTGTGAAGAAAAATCTGATTCTGAAATATTTTTATTGAATCAGTATCACGGTTTTACCACCTCTGCTTTTTGATAACTTGAACCCTTCAACAGAACCTACAAGGAAATCAATACACCAGACTTAGCATTATGATATCTTTTATGAAGAAAAATCTGATTCTGTAATATTTTTATTAAATCAGGATCAGTTTTACCACCTCTGTTTTTTGATAACTTGAACCCTTCCTAGCATTTATTAATGTTTTAGGATTTGTTCCTCTAGAAGTATTTGAAATGGATGCAACTCGCCTTTACTGTAAGGCAGACTCACAATCCATGCTATATAAAATGTATCAGATAAGTGGATGGTGGCCTTTTTGCTGTTTTGTAGCTAAATGCTCCCCAGATGCTTTAAGTTACTTAGAATTGCTGAAAGCCCAGGGCTTCTGAAGTTAGGATGCTAAGTCCATCCTGCAGAGCACGTTGCAGTGTTGAGGCAAATGAGCCTCCTCTGGTGCAGTGAGCAGTGTAGCACAAGAGCAGGGGACATGGGTGCAGGTTTCTGATGGGAGGGACTCTGCAGAGTGAATAAGACATTTAGGAAAGAGCGATGCACATGCAATGCACATGCACATGCATAAAACCTAATACATTACATAAAGGAAATAAACATAAAGGCAACATATTTCTTCTTCTTTGGATGTGTATCAGAAAAAAGTACTTCATTTTTATTAATACTTGATTACTTTGTTCTTTGAAATATTTTATATGCCTCTATCTTATTATGCCCCAGATTTGTTAAAGAGGTTCTCTGTATTGATGAGGTTTTTTTATGAGCTTCTGTTTTTTCTTTAATGTAATTTTCTACACCTTTAAAGTGTATTCCCCAAGTATTAAGAGCATCTACTAAGGATTGCTCAATTCAACATAGAATAGCAGATAATGAGAGATGATGCAGAAGGTGAACTGCATGCTGCATATCAAAGACTCTCATGGGAAATGCCTGATTGAGGTTAACACTGATTACACCAAATACTCTGGATAGTGGGATATAGTGAAGAAGGAATTATAGACACCTTTCAGTATACAAAACATGACAGAGACATCAGATGAAAATTCAAGATAAGTTCTTATAATACTTTGTTTATATATAAACAGACACTATTTAAAACATATAGTACTTTAACAACATAATTATGTTTATCTTTTCAGTTCTAAAGAGTACAAAATCTGAATGAACTATTCTAATTTCAGTGAATCTGTGCGCTTTTATTCAATGTTTATCTTATTTTTTTAATGGGCAAAATTTTTACTGTATTTCTATTTTTCTCCTAACTAACTTATGATTTTAAGTTTTATGTATTTTGTTCTCATATGACCTTCTGAACTGGCTAGGAAATGTATTCTCCTTGAATGGTGGGTCTCAGAAGGGGAAATAAAAAGATTAAAAGCATAAGAAACAGTTGATTTCTTAAAATTCGTTGATTAGATCATTCATTGAACTTTATTGTTACTTAATGCTAATTAGCACATTTCAGCAACTGTTAATGATTACACCTTGCTACATTTTCTCTTGTTCTGGAAGTTTAGAGGAAATAAAGGAGTCTTGCCAGGTTGTTTTGCTGTTTTTTCATTTTGCTTCCCAAACAATTTCTAACAGTAGCCAAGTCACAAACGAAAAAAGAGAAGACACTGCACAGCTTCTGTCTTTCTTTCTTTCTGTCCTCCTTTTCCTTCCTTTGGAGACTTTGTAGTAGTAAATCATGTAAAACATTCCTTCCTTGGCCACAGAAGGCTTTGATTGAGGTGGAACACGTGCAGGCTCCTGAACATTTACTACATCCTGTGGAGCACAGATCTGGTATGTCTCGCTCTGCAGGATCATTTAGCAAGTAAAACAAAAGTAGGCTAGGGAGGGTGAGAAATTCATTCCCTCTTTTGGAAAAGTCAGAGGGAGCACAGTTACTTGGGCTTTATATGGCTCTGTGCTCATTGTGGAGTTTGCTGCCCATCTTTACTACCTAAAGGATATTTCCAGGGTGCAATTATTCAGTAAACACTGGACTAACTATTTTTTTCACAAAACCAAATGCCATTTATTTGCATAATTTATCAACTGCAAGTTGAATACATGGTTTATAAAGGGAGTGTGTAATACCTTTTGACAGATCTGAGATAACTGACTGTTCTATAAACTTTATTATTCATAATGGACACCTCTTCACTATATATCTTCACTAAGAGGATGAACATGCATTAATTCGGCTTTTAAGCAACTCTATTTTGAAAACCAAACTGAAAACTCTAAACTGAAAACCAAACTGTTCACTTTGATTTAAATTGAATCTCTTCTGATATTCATTTATATTACATTGTATTTCTCCAGATTTTTGTTTGTTTTAATATTATTTAAAAATCAATGTTTTATTCCTGTTGTTAAAATGGCATTTCCATTGTTGTCAGATTAATGTTAATTGTTGTAATAAATTGGAATATTGAACAAAGGTGGTATATAAGTCCTGTTTTTTTATATTCCAGCCCCAAATAGTATTTTATTGGCTCAAGATGTGGAAAAGAACACATCAGAATGTAGCACCAAAATGATGTATCCTAAAATCGCCTTAAAGTGCTTACCTTGCAATATTCTTGAAGCATTCTTGCGATATCTGTAATTAGCAGTTCACCACTCTAATAAAATTCCTAGATAAAATATTTTTGAACTAGAGTAATCTTTCATGCTTTATGGTGGCAGATATGTTACCAGTAAGTTTAGAGAACCATTTTAAAGGATGTTTAGAATGTTACTTTCTAAAGTTATTTAGCGTTTAGCAATTCATTGTTAAAATAAATGATTAAAAGAAATCCATATGTTTGAAGGATTTTCAAAGTCCAGTGAAGATGTGTCAACAGTCTTAACAATCTTAATTCTAGGAAGTATATATAATCAAGTATGATTTGTTTTTTCCTGAAAACATGCCTCTCGGTGTGGTGATTTGCACATGGAATCAATGTATCCATACTCATCTAAAAATAATGTTGTCCTTTCCATGTGTTTATACTATCATAGGTCATATATCATTGATCAGTCTTGAAATAACTAAGTAATTGTTCACTCATATTTTAGACTTATGGACTTGCATGTGGTCTTTGTTTCACAGAAGCACTTCTTTGAAGTGCTGTGAAGTGAAAATACACTTCTATTTGACCATAGAAGTGTAATAAACTGTAAAATATATTTTTATACTTTTTTCATTAATGGAGAATTAAAATTAAACAATCCAGTATAGTTCTCCAAATCATGTTCTCAAACATCATTAATGTAATTAAATTCTCTTTATGTTTGTTTATAGCATTCACTCTTTAGCAACTGATATATCTGGGATAGGATGCTATAAAATACTAAGGTACAGCTTTGGTATTTATCTTTCTTGAGGAAAAATATTCAGTTTTAGACTGCACTTGTTTTTCTTCTGTCAAAGACATCAGTTCTATTTTGAATGTGTTTTTATCGCTAACAAACAAAACTAATGAGGCTCTTCTACTCCCATGGCATGTTATTTTTCTCTTTTGCAAATAATCTTTTGAACTCTTACTCTATTAGCCATGTCTTATAACACACACAGTTTACTGAATTTGGAAGACATTTCTTGTTACTACAAATGGAAAAGGGAATTTTTTTGAAAGAGAAAGCCTTGAGTATTTAAGGAATTAGGACAAGAAAAAATGAAGAAAAGGGTACTATTTTCCTGAAATTCAGCTTTCTAATGCAAAAATCATAAACTAGCTATTACATGTGATGCTTGCTTTGTTGCTATGTTGCTTTTAGATGATTGCTCAACTGAAGAAGGAGATCCAGGATTTGAAGGATGAGCTGGCACTAGTGACAGGTGAACAAAGAACAACAGAGCTCTCACAAGAAGAGCGACTTCGGTAATTCCTTAATTATTTTTATTTTCTCTTTCAAGATGAACCTTTTGTGAGCTTGTTAACATAAAATTTAAATTCGTCGTTGAGTTCTAAAATTCTTAGAGGTAATAAAATGGAGTTAGGTGCCAGGTTAGAATGGCAGCTCTCCATGAAAAGCTGTATGAGGCTGCTGGCTGTGTTTTTGCAGCCTCAGCTTTGAGGAAGTGAAATGAAGTAAATATAAAAATTGAGAGGGCCTGTCAGATGCCAGGAAAGAGTCTTGTATAATAGTGTAGAATAATAATAAAAAAAAAACAACTTGCTTAATCCTAGATATAAGATCTGAGAAAATCTAATAAATATTCTTTGTCCCAAAAAGTTTTTTGCTGCTGTGCTAGTTTGATGTAAGCTCCCTCTCTGCCAAAAAATGCATTTCTAATACACAATATATCAGTATCTTAAACACTGAGTCTTCAAAGTTTTAACTGAACATGCTATTCAAAATGGACATATGAGTTTTTTAAGAGCTTGTAGCTTCTCAGTAACAGATCAGTACAGAATATAAGAACATTCTGTGCATAGTGAAAAAATATTTACTGAGTGTAAAATTTCACCATAGCTAAATTCAATTCCCACTTCTGAAAACTTATTGGTTCTCTAGGATGAACCTATTTAATCTCTTTGCCTCATCCATATTAAAAAGAAAAAAAAAAAGTACTAACTTACAGAATCACACAGAATCACAGAATGCTTAAGGTTGGAAGGGACCTCTAGAGGTCATCTAGTCCAACCCCCCTGCACACGCAGGGTCACCTAAAGCACGTGGCACAGGACTGCGTCCAAGCGGGTTTTGAAGATCTCCAGAGAAGGAGACTCCACAACCTCTCTGGGCAGCCTGTTCAGTGCTCTGTCACCCTCACAGTAAAGAAGTTCTTCCTCATATGGAGGTTACTTGAGTTTTTGGTTGGTTGATAAATTAATGGCAACTAATTTGAAGCTCTTTACTGTATAATCTTTTTTTTTTTTTTTTTTTGGAAATGATCTAGAAAAATACTACTTGTGCTGAGTATCTGCCTTGACATGTAGGAGTTCTGGGAAAAATGGGACATCACTACCTTTAATCTTGAGTTTCTTATGTTGAAGATGGTTATTGCTTGCTATTTTGTTTTTTAAATTCGGAAACTAAATCATATTTATATAAAGGATGAAGAACTAGGTAGCTTTATGTTTATTTTACAATGTTAATCTGAGTAATTTTCAATATAGACAGCTGCCACTATAACCTGTCAACTGGAAATACCCAACTTTTTCCTACAGGATGTGCTATTTATCATTCTGTCCCAAAGTTTTCCTTCCCTACATCAACTGCACGACGTACTTTACAGGGTAACACTGGGTGTGAGAAAATAAAAGCATAGAAAGAAAATGTAAAGAGCAACAAAAATAAATTTCTTTTTCATTATAAGAGAAATTAAATGCTCTTTACCCTGGCAGAACTAGTCCTTCAGAATATGAGAGTGACTCTGACTCACTTTATTATGATATTCTTATATAACCTGTATGTTATTTTGAAGATTTTCTTTGCTAACTTTATTGTAAACATCTATCACATGAATTTTCCCCTATGGTTTTGCTTGCTGTTTAGTTTTGTGGGGAAATCCTGTTTTGGGAAATTGTTAGGCTATTTTTAGACTGTGGTCATAACTCTCACTTCCTGAGATTCTCTACTGGCTTTTAGCCAAAAAAAACCTGGCAGTCTTATAGGTGGAAATGGATTTACAGTAGATGAAAAGTCTTAATATGAATGTGCAAAGGAAAACAAGAATATAAAGTAATGGATGCATTTGCAATATAGCATACCTCCATCTGGGAAACCTTGTTTTCACAAATATGTAATTTTTAAAATCTATATAGCACAATAGTTAGTCTATTATTTTATCAGAAAAAGGTTGCTTCTGAAATCATACCAATAACTTTGCTTCCTAGTTCCCAAGAAAGAAGCAGGTAGAAAACTTTCAGCCTTTAGTAAGTTTCTGCCTGTTGTAAAACGCAGAAGAAAAAATCAGTTACAGAGACTTCAGTTATATTAAGATAACTCTTTTAGTTTTTTTTTTTAATTTTCTTTTACTTACAATTCCTCAGGTTCATGTACTACTGATTGAGAAACAAGGCATTTCCTGAGAACCAATAGTCAACTACAAGGACCTCAAGCATTTTAACTCAGCAGTCATGTAGTGTAGTCATTATAAATAGTGAAAGATAATTATTTGGATTGTAGACTTAGAATTGGCTATACAGATTTTTTTATGAAAGGTACAGTCCCAAAAAGTGCACAAGATATTTCTTAAGAATTCCTGTCATATTCGTGGGCCGGATTCACTTACTAACATTATGTGCCAAGTGCAATGTTGAAAGATGGGTCAATCTCTTCTTTGAAGGATTGCAGTGGAGGAAATATCAAATGGGAGAATCTATTTATTACAAATTTTACATTTGTATGTTTTTGCACATGGAAGATTCACAGCTCAACAACTACCAATATAAAAATTCACTACTTTAATGAAAATATCTTTCTGTGCCTTGGAAAATGTGCACATTTTGAACTTGATTTCATATGGAGTCAATCTTTACATGAGCATATTGGTTTCAATAGGTTTGAACCTCCTGTCGTGATAATTTTTGAGCTCCTAAGTATACGAGCATCAACAAATAGTATCTAAATGTTCTGTCTCCGTGTAGAAACTATTAATGCATAACATAGCAAATCTTTATGATAATTCTGCTAATTGAGACTGACCATCTGAGTTTAGAGCTTCTCATTACCTGGAGAGTTTGCATGAATTAAAAAATAAGTAGTAGTCCAGACATAACCACTGACTTTGATGAAGGCTGATAAAAGGATTTTCTGTTTCTGAAACATGTCTATGTTGTGGTTTGCATCTCGTAATTATATAATGAAACCTAAATAATACTACTTATTAGGAGACATATGGAGCAGATTATTATGACACAGAGTACTGGAAAAGAGACATGGTATAAGTAATAATGCAATATTCTTATTCTCATTCATTACGCATATTTTAAGGGAGGTCAAGGCAAAAATAATCTTCTGAACGCATTCTGTGCTAGTGTTTGCATTAATTCTTTAATTTTTGGATCCAGATGATCAAAAGTAAAGAACACAACTGTTAAAAACACTCCATGTACTAACTATTTATTTTATTGTCTCTGCATGATTCTTTATCTCAGGCACTTTTCAGTAGAGGTTAGGACAGCAGACCCAGTGAATACAACTGCAGATCCAGGAATACATTTTAGTCTAATAAAATGGAATTGAGAATACATGGCTTTTTGCCCTGTATATGTGTTGTGGGAAGCAAATGTTAATCATTGCCTTGAAAATAAATTTTAATATTATGTTGAAAGAGTTAAGTAGTTTGTATATTTCATAATATACCTAGATATGCCAAACATTTATTGCAATAATGAGCCTCATTCCACTTGCTCAGTTGTATACTCCAAATTAAGTCAGTGGGTTACTTGATGGAGTTAAAATTGTTAAGTTTTTAAAGCTAGTATGTAAATATATTGTAAGTGAGTCTTAATTTTCTTCATTTATCTTTTTTTTTTTTAACTAGAATCAAAAAATCAATCTAAGTAGAATATTTTTTTTGTTGACAGAAGAAAAAACATCTGTAAAATAGGCTTTCATAATAACTACTATGTTGCCACATTGTCGTTTACTAAATTTACAATGAAATGGAAAACAAATGCTTGTGATTTTGCTTTTGAATACTAAATTATTATGCAATACAGTCTCTCCTGAGAGTAAAGCTACAGCTGTCTCTGGAATTCTTAATTCAAAATTCTATTAAGTTGTTAGCATTTACATTACTTTATAATATTTTTAGTTTTATTATTCTTTTCTCATAAATGTTAAACATATACATATTCTGCTGCTCTCATATTGTTTATTTAAACACACACATAAAATGTTCAGCTAGATTATCTAAGTGCTTCATAATGGAGTTCGACAAATGCTTCCAAAATCTGAATTGCTTTCTTTGGATCTCTGCATCCTTGTCCTCAACAGGAGTGATTTCTAAATATTTCTTTGAGCTCGAGAGTTAGTCCCTTGTTTAGGGAGAAAAAAAAAAAAAAGTTGGAGCACAGAAAATGGTATCATGCATCCCAAATAGAAGGAAATTGTAAACTCACAGACTTCTATATTATACTTTAGAATAGAATTTAATAACATTCAAATGGACTTTTTTTTCCTTTTGTGAGAAGCATGCCAATAATAAATTGGAGATGCCTTTTTGTTCGGATCATTTGGGATTTTTTTTTGCTGCTGTTGTTTGTTGTTGTTGTAAATGAGCTCAATAGCAATTTACAATATGTGCCCAGAAAGTCAGGACTTCAAATCAAAAGCTTGTGTTTCAGAGCACCCACGCTTCCAGGGCTTTTGCCAGTTGGAATTCTCTAGTAACAGCACTGGAAGTACTGTCTTAGCACTTTAATTTATTAATAACTTTACCTTGTTTCTTTCAGATACATATGTTATTACAACTCCTTTATTTTTTATTTCAACAGTCATATATTGTTCGTCTTATTCTAGTGCTGGATTTCTCATTACTTCTTTCTGCCTTTCATTTTTCTTTTTCAACATTGTGACATCTGTATGCTATCATGGTATTAACAATATTGCACTGTTGTATAATATAGAGCTTTAGCAGTTACTCATACTTAAGCTGTTTAACAAATGGTTTCACTTACAAAGCAGAGCAAATGTTCCTATTTGCTGATGTCAGTGTTCAATTTCACTTGTAAGGTGGAAGAAGCAGAAGCATATTACCTTGCCTTATGTCAACACAGTACGTAGACAGTGGATTTGTGCAAGAGTTATGAGACCAAATGACACTGAGACCCAATGCTGTACAGCATGATCCTGAAGGAGAAAAGCTACATTAAACACAGAGTAGCTGTAAAACACCTCACATTAACGCTTACCTTAGGTGCTTGAA